GAAATTTTGGAATTTTTGAATTCTGGAATTTTTAGAAATTTGGAATTTTGGATTTTGGAAATTTAGAATTTTTAAAATTTGGAATTTGGATTTTGGAATTTTGGAATATTGGAAATTTGGAATTTTGAAAATTTGTAATCTTGGAATTTTGGAAATTTGGAATTTTGGAATTTTGGAAATTTGGAATTTTGGAAATTTGGAAATTTGGAATTTTGAAAATTTGAAATTTAATCACTGGAAAATTTGAAATTTGTCAAGTTGAAATTCAAAATTTAGAAATTTATGAATTTAGGGATTTTGAATTTTAGTAATGTGAAATTTGAAAATTTCGAAATTCGAAAATTTACAAAATGGTAAAAAGAAAATTTCCAAGAAAAAGAAACTTTGTTCACAACACAAGATACAAGATACAAATAAATTGTCCACCGGAAGGGTTTCGAAGTAAAAACAGAAAGCTTCGCAGATATAACCCAGGAAGATTAAGTGAAAAATTCCTTCGCATCAGCGGGGATCATCGTACAGCTTGAGAAACATATTTGGCTGGCTGCAAGAAGATATCCTATCGACGTTGATGCAACCTCTTCGAGTCGACGCTCTTCTTCATTATTCATATCGAGCCCCCTGCGCACACCATGCGCCTTCTGTCTTCTCCTTCTATCGTCGTTCCTTCGGCGAATCTTCCTCTTCGCCCTCCGCTCTGCCCTTTTTGCTTGACTTTCCCTTCGAGATGGCAAAACACGACTTTGCGCGGCTCTGCTCGGGCGTAAACATTCGAACGAATTTTTCTAGTACGCTGGAAGAAGTCAAAACCGCTTCAACGAGTCTGACAACGAGCATTAATCGTATCCTCGGAGGGGAAATGTAATCGGAAACGCAGCCGCGCTAAGGGCCACGATAAAACATCATGGGGTTACTACGAGCGCGATGAAATGTGTTCTACAGGTTACTTACATTACCCGTAGGCAAGTTTGATCGGGCAGAATTAATTAATCAAAGTACGATACTGTTGTACCTGTCAGTAAAAATCAGGAGTAGAAATACATGTCCCAATTATGGACGCTTTAACATGGTTTATATAATTATTTCTTAATTAAAAAGTACCGCGATAAATATTGACAAAAGGAGTTTTTGATCTTGACCTTGATACATATTATTAAGGACATGTTCCTGGGTAACTTTTCTCTTTACCTTAATCGTCGGTTATTGTTCCTTAAAAAATTATTAACCATAGATTTGTAAAAATTAGGAGTTATACGTAAATCCTAATAAGCAACGAAAAGCATGATGATTCTGGCACCCATTTTGTATTTAGAACCATGTCTAAGTGGGGGGAGGGGGAGTTATAACAGAAGAATTCATAAATCGAACTGAACAGATTACAATTTTTTTGAATTTCAGTAACCAGAATGATATTCTAACCTATATTTATATTATCTATATATTCTAACCTTATAATATAATTGATAATAAATGTCAGAGAATGAATATTATGAATTATAAAATATGCTAAGTTGAGGTAGGTTAGTTTAGATTAATATTTTTGGTTTAAATTTCACAGACATTTCTGGGAAATAACTTTGTAACAAATAACGAGCAACGATTAAGTTGTAAGGAAATGTTACTCAGGACGATGAGTCGATATGTCAAGGTCATTGGAGCTGGATACCCTTCTGTCAATATTTACCAGTACCGTTACATGAAATCAATATTCCTAAAATCAATATCGGTTACTAAACAATTCCTTTTTGTGAAGTTAAAATTTGGTAATTGCACTTTATATAAATATTTATATAAAAAAAATTGAGTTACAGAATATGAAATTAAACATTTTTGAATTTCATTTCATAATAATTTTTTCAGAGATCAACAAACATAAATTATTTAAATTATATTAATTAGTCGCCGTCATATTAATTCTATCATGTTAATTGCTCGTAAATATGGAAATTTGCTTAATATCGAACAATTGATAACCGATTAGCAAGTCCCCATTTCCGTTATTAGTAAAATTGACTCGATATTTTTAGTTGCAAAACGTAGTAATTATTGGAAGAGTTAGCTACTTCTTGTAAATTCTCGTAAATGATTCTCAGTTAAACTCACTGCAAATAGGATATTTGTCCCAATTACGAAGATTTATACAGAACCAGTACATATTATTTAACACATTGACCGTCACAATAAAGCAATTGAAAATTGTATTAGATAGAATTTCCATTTTTAGTAAGGCTTGCAATGTATCCACAATATTTTGTTATATTTATAAAACACTGTTCCAAATAGTGAATGTAAATTTTTTCAATCAGGTAACTCAACAAATTCTTAATAGTATAACATATTCTTAAACATATTCTTAATAATGTATGGGTGACGTGGTAGTCAAAGTGATAAAAAGAATTGCTACATAAATGTTCTTACAATCAGAAAGTATGTACTTGTTATTAAACAATTCTTTTTTGATACGATTTTGATAACGATCCACATAAACACTTTACTTAAACTATATTTAGTTAAGAAAGAGTAATTACTTTACGTATTAAAGGAAAACTTATTTGTAGCCATAGCACGTGTTGCAACATTGCGATATGTCGAAACATACTTGACAGTGGAACAAAGTAGAGGGTACGATATACGGAAACATAGTGGTAAACGAATGCAGCGCCACTAGTTGACGATTTCATGGTACTAATGCTTGACGCTTTACGAACACATATACAGTAACATTATTTTAACACTTTTTAACGAACTATTTTTTCAATAAAAGAAATTAAATCGTTACGAAGTATTTAACGAAATAAAAATACATGTTTCTATCCGTACTAATTCTTTCAGTTATACATGTATTTCCAGTGGAAATAATTATGATTTTTTGGTTATAGATATTATTAATACTAATATTCATAACTATTTCTAAATTTCCCCACCCTTAGATTCCATTATCCCTAAATTCTTACGCTTCCTAGATTTTTGTATCCCTATATTCCTATATTTCTATATCACTATATTACTATATCCTCACATCCCTACATCTCCATATCTCGAAATTTGAAATTATTCAAATACTTGTATACTTAAATTCCTAAATCCCAAAATTTCTAGACATTTAAATTCGCAAAATTGGAGATTTGAAAATTTCAAACTAGAGCGCTCGTTACTTCAAAAATGTAATGATTTAATTTTCGCAAAATGGAATATTTGGAAATTAAAAAAATCGATGAATTCGAGAATTAGAAATTCAAAGTTGAATAATTGCGTAACAGCGATATGTGCTTATTTGGTAAAAAGAAACATTAAAAAGGGATAAATGCATTTCTCCTATACATATAACGTGTCAATCGGAATGATTCGGCAATCTTCGATAATTTACGTCGCGCGAGCCGGTTGCCGGTCCGCGACGGTTAACACGTGACGAATAGAATAGATTTGGAAGGCGGATAGCAAAGACGTGTAGTGTAAACAACAAACAAATTGTTAAATTAAAGAAAAGAGTCGTGGAGTTCATTTCGAAACCCTAATACTACTTACAATGTTCCAAAGTGAACGACTGTCTATATGTACCCGATGTTGTTCCGAAGTAAACAACTTCGTGACAATGATGTTTGTTCCAAAGTCAACAACCTCGTGTCGATTGCTTATTTCACAAGATGAAAGCTCAATGAGATCGTACAATTTTTACGAACGAGAGTGAGTGAAACAGTTTGTGATTTCTATTGGGTACATAAATCCGGTTGGAAATGGAAAACCGAGTGACGTATGCGGTGAGTTTATTCCTCAAAAAGTAACCGTGGCAATAAAACCGTGCAATAGCTTGACACGAATAGGAAACTGGAAGTGGAGGACTTTACTGCTAAGGTAAAGGTTAGGTTAGGTTAGGTGAAACTACTCGACAGAATGTTACGCCTTCTTGGATATTATTACAGCAAATGTAAGAATAAAAAAGCTGTATATTATTTTATCGATGAAAACTTGAATCGAGATTTTAATTTACTTGCTGTGGTATTGTATTCCAAGACCTAACAGTAGTGATAAAAAAATGAATTCCGTAGGATGCTGCGCCACTGCGTAGCCATGTGTGGACGCGAAGCAGTTTTAATGGCAGCAGGGCGCAGGATGGTCCCCCTGGAACCCAAACTCGAGTGAAGGGCCCCCGATCGAAACACTGTTCGGTTCACGCATCTGCATATAAATCACTAGCTGGACAGCCTTAAAAAGCCGGGGGCTATTGCGGACCCGCCAATAACTGCGAAACATCGTCTTCGGTTTCTTCCGACGCGCGCGGTTAAAAACGGCTCCCATATACCTGCCCTTTTTTCGACAGTGTTTCGAGCGGGCAAAAAAGGAAGGGCAAAGAAGGCTGGGGGAAGAAAAGAATAATCGCGAGCAGTACTTTTTACCGCGAGGGAACGCTCGAACGTGGCACTTAAATAAAATTGTAACGACTACTAGGCCGAATTCTTCAAAAGTAATAACTGTACTGAAAATGTTATGAAAATTTTTCCTTTGCGGAATTCAAATTTAATGCTTGCTTTTTTATTTTAGGGCGAACAGCAATTCTATTTTTTCATGAACACAAAAGTGAAAGTTTTTTTTAAAATTATTTAAAATTAAAATAATTTTGTTTTAATTACATTTACATTTTAATTAGTTTTTATTTAAAATTAAATTTTCGTTCTAGTGCTTATTTTGATTCAACTGTTCATTGACCTTAATAAGAATGAAACTTTTTTTTATGAAATTAAAGTTTCAATTCCTAACTTCTATAATTTACAAATTTCTTTTTTTAAATTTTCCAGTTGCCATACTTAGAAATTATTAATATTTTAATTTTCAAACTTACAATTTTTCAAAAAATTGGATCAGGACAGTTATAAATAAACTTTAAAATAAAAATAAAATTAAATAAACAGTTATAAATAAGCCATTGAAAAAAACTCAAATAGATTAAGATTAAAAAAAGGAAAACAACTTAATAGTAAACATGAAATATTTCTTTATCTTACCTTTGCCTCTAACGTTTCTAATTGTGCCATTCTTGGTTCCAGAAATTGTGGTTGTGAACCAACTCCAGTGTGTAGAGCAGTCTGCAACAATTAAAATAAATATTAGTTTATTGTTCCTAATAAGTGAATATTTAATACATAAAATAATGATTAACCAATAAATAAATATTACCAGTAATAAAATTTAGCATTTATGTAGTTAATTTAGTACTATAATAAAAAACTATTTTTAAGTATTATTATTTATAACATAAAAATCATTCAGTCTAAAGTAAAGTAATTTATTTACTTTAGTAAAGCAAAAATTAATTTTAACGCAGTATTTGTAGCACACAAATTACTCTGTTCAAAGTAAAGCATTTAATTAAAATTACAACAAAAAACTGTATTGGAAATAGATTAAATGTGCCAATATTGGAAACAGATTAAATGCGACATCTATATTTTTACCACATGAACTATTACTCATAAATATCTTTTTCCATCCGCCATATTCTTTATTCAAGCATCCTTTTCCTACATATTTTAACACAGTGTTATTTATAGACTACAAATTACTCGGTTTAACAGAAAGTGATTTATTTAATTTTATGGCTGTGACTAGACTGAGAGAGAACTTTTTCCCCTTGAAATAGTTTTCATTTCGCATTATACGTATCACTGCGACCTTTAGCGCCGGAAGGAATGATTACGATGTTATACGAAACATAATGTTTTCTTTCTTTATTGCCGTGTTTTACGTCTCCATTTGTGGCGCTGCTGATGAAAGCATTTTATACCTCCTTTCGGATTGACCACGAAATAACAGGTAACGCGTAAAATTGAACCGGTACAAGCTTTATTGCTACGGTGACAAGTAAAATTGAGAATTTACTGCCGTTTAGAGACAACTGAACATGATGGAATCAATAAACACGAAAATCAAGACCACTTGTGCATTTTTAACTCTTCATACTTTGTTATTTACGATACGTAAATTTAATATCCATGTCGTAACCGAACAAATGTTGCGTAAATTAATATCGTTTATTAAGTGGTCTTGTTTGAATGAGACACAGTGCAGTTTTCAAAACAATAAACGATAATTTTAGTATATGGTGCGTGTTCTAATTGTAAAATAAAATATGTTTCGAATTATGTCGTGTTTGGTTTCGTTTTAATCAGGAAAATATCATAGATATGTTAGCGAAAGTTTTTATAACAAAAATATTGAAAATAAAAAAGGCGTATTCTTGCATTAGGTTTGACTTACCGATATGTCATTGTTTATTTACCTTCGTAAACGACCTTTACGTTGTGTCGTTCTTTTCTTACGTTCGGTGAACTTCGGTCAGTGGCGGAAATAACCGATACAAGCGAAAGCACAGACTTTCAAAATTGTATTATAACCTTAATCACTTTTCTCGACCGTATTTAACGGTCATAATAACGAATAACTTCAGTCATTTTACAATCTTGACTACTAGATGTATCACGTGATATCCGAATAACACCGAAGAAGATCGAAGTTTCCCGATGTGTCATTACTCGTCAGTTTACCGAAAATTTTACTACAATAAACCCACGATGTAAAAAATACGCTTGAAACTACGAATAAATATGTACCGAATCTCGTCATGTTTAATCGCATTTTAATTAAGGAAATATCGTAGATATCATAGTAAAAGTTTCATAACTAAAAAGTCGAAAATAAACACGTTTTATTCTTGCATTATCGCCTCCCGGTATGTACTGTTTACGTTCGGTCCATTGAACGTATCCTTCGCTCGTTATTTTCCTGAGTTCGACAAACTTCGGTTAGTTGTGAAACGACACGATACAAGTAAAGTTCAGACCTGAGAGATTCGCTTATTTCAAAACTATATTATAACCTCAATCATTTTCTTAACCGCATTTCGCCACTTCAGCCATAGAAATTTACGATTTTGACGGTTAGACGTATCACGCGATTATCCGAATGACACCGAAGCGAAACGAAGTTATCCGACGTGTTCTTGTTCAAACGTTTACCGCTTAGCACAGTAAAACTTCGATACAAAACAACGCTTGAAACTGCAAATAAATATGTCTCAAATTATATCGTGTTTGGTTTCATTTTAATTAATGCAGCATCACAAATATGTTAATCAAACATAACAAAAAATAAAAAAATAACGCTTGTATTAGGATTGTCACACCGAAATGTTACTAATTGTTTGCATTTGATAGTTCAGATGTTTCCGTCATTCGTTATTCTATTCTACGTTCGGTAAACTTCTGACAATGACGGAACTACACAAAGTAAATGAAAATTCAGAGCTACGAAATTCACTTATATCCAGACTTTACTGTATTAATTAAAAAGTACCACTACATGAATGTCTTATTTTTAAAATCAATTCTCGTTATTAAAATTCGTAAACAATTCCTTGTTATAAAATTAAAGTTAAAGTTCGTTAATTACATGTTGTGTTAATTTTTATTAATGCAGTATCAACAAAATTTAACTACAGAAAATGAAATTAAATATTTTAGAATTTAATTCCATTAAAACTTGACCAATATTCAAACAAAAAAATAAAATATTTAAATTACATTAATTACCATTATATTAATTCTTAGTCGATTCCGAATATTTCTCTGATTACTTTCATTTAATGCAAATCAGCGTTACAGTTTCTCGTAAAATATAAAAGATGGCTTAATATCGAACGATCGGTAATCGATTAGCAGGTCCCTCTTTCCGTTATTAGCAAAGATTGAACAACTGTCTCGATATTTTTAGTTGTCAGACGTAGTAATTATTGGAACACTTAGCTGGTGCTTGTAAATATAGGTCGCTACTTTACCGAAGATCTTGTATCAGATTGAGAATAGGATATTCGTTCCAATTACGGAGATCTTAAACTAGATTTTAGAATCGTCTGTTATTTGACACGTTGACTGTCAGATTGAAGTAGTTGAAAATTTAATTAGGTAGAATTTTTATTTTTGACAAGACTTGCCAAATATTTTATTTTCAACAAAGCTTGCCATAACACTTTGGTACAACTCATAAAACATAATTCTATGTAGTTAATACGAGTTTTTCCATTTAGTTAACTGAACAAATTTTTAATAATATAGCAGATGGGAAATTAAATAATATTAGTAATTTAATATACTAATTTATTATATTAATAATTATACTAAAGTTTAATATATTAATAATATTATTATTCTAGTAATAATTATTACTTCTCTAATGTTTCTTTATATATTTAATTAATTTAATAAATTATGTTGTATTAACTTTTCTTGAAATAATTATTATATTTACTTATGGTACCATAATTGATGTCTATCAATACTATTGTTAGAAGAAAAATGATCATGTTTACAATACTTTATGTTATTAAATTAAAATTAAATAATTTTATAAATTATTTTCTAATAATTTTGAAAAATATTTCTTCAGATTCTTACAATGATGATATTATTATACATTATTATACCTATTACTATACATAATTCTTTAAAAATTTTTGCAAACAATGTAACTGTTTGTTTAATAATGTATATAATTTATACAATTTTATTTATGGCTAACATTATTGCAATTAAAGTTTGTTAAGATTTTTTTTTCAAACATTTTGTAAGAAAACTTTGATGTACAATTAATACTATTAAAATTAAATTTTATTAAAGATCTCAAAATAAGATTTTATCAAATAATACCATAATTAAATACTTTTTAGTAAACAAAATAATTGCAATAGAAAAAGAATTTTGTAATAACTTTTTATAATATTTTATCATACGGTTATAGTAATAATTATTATTATATTTAACTTACATTATTATTTTAATAATAATATTATTATCAATTTTATCCAAAATTAGTACTACTAAAATTAAATTTCACTAAAAACATGAAAATACTTTTTTTATCAGAACAAATCGTAATACAGTATTTTATAATAAAAAAATTGTTATTAAAAAAAGAGAAAGAATTATGTATTTATTTTTTGCAAAATTTCTTAATATTCTTGCAACAATGTTCCCCATCAAATTTAACTGTTTTTACTATAATAAACCAAAAATATCATCAGTTTTATTTAAAATTATTAAAATTAAATTTCACTAACAAAATATTTTTTTATCAAACGCAACACTTTTCCTTTAGAAATGAATTATTATTATAAACAAAAGATAAAACGTAGCAAATTTATATAAAAATTATGATATAATATTGCTTTCTTCATTACATTTGCTTTAAATTTATACGTTTTAATATTTATAATATAAGTATCAGAGATCGAGGCGTGGCCATTTATCTATGTCACTGAATTTTATGGTTGCCCGTGAGCTTTCTACGAGTTCTTTCCTGAAGCTTTATGTTTCTTGCCTGCTATACTGTTATTAACTTCCCGGTTCTATGGTCGAAACTCGTATTTCGAAGTTTACGAGTTCCTCACTCTTCGAACAGTTAGTGTAGCAACCCCTGTGATTCCTCTTTCATGAGAAACTATCATTCTTTCTAGAATGACAATTATTGCTTATAACATTTTCTTTTCTTTCCACCATTGTTCGCCGACCGACACATAATTGATTGCTTCCAATTGTCGGCTAATAGAACTAACGGAAACGATAAATGAATTTCGTATGTCGTTTCTTTGTTGTTGTGAGAAATAATAGATGTAAGCTGTATGAGCGCATTATCGAATATACAAAAATGATTATTAATGTTTTTTTTGTAATAATGGTCAATTCAGAAGTTTGTAATTTTTGAAATTTTCAATTCTAGAATTCTCAAATTTTGAAATTTTGAAATTCTCAAATTTACAATTTTTCAAATTCACAAGTTAATAATTTTTCAAATATTTCAATTTTCAAATTCTAAACATAAAAATTTTCAAGTTTTTCAATTTCTAAACATTTAAATTTTCAAAACATTCAAATTTTTAGTTTTTTAAATTTCTACATTTTTAGAAAATTCAAATTTTTTAATTTTTAAATGTTTAAATCTTAAAATTCTCAACTTGCTAAATTTATATACCTTCGGATCCTTAAGTTGTCAAATCTTCAAAATTTCAAATTTTCAAGATTCAAAAATTCAAAAT